TGCCTTCATACATCTCCTCCTACATGTCACTACATGCTGTGGCTAAGCGGTTTGAGCAGTCGTCCTCCAATGCAAGAGTTGGGGGATTGAATCCACCAGCAGTCACATGTCGAAGTGTCTCAGGGCAAGACACTGTTGGATTTAATATTTTATACCTTTTTATAATTCCTATCAAGCACTCAAATGTCATGTCATATAAAGTGTGTCTTTCTTCCAGGGTTGAACTATGTTTATAGAAAATGTTTGCTAATTCTAACTAGTTGACCTTTAAATATAATCTCATAGTAGCTAAGGATAATTTTACAAGTTCACATTTGATCAATTACAAGCAATCAATTGAGGCCAGAGAGCAGACTGATTAACATAAATAAAGCTAGAACACAGCTCTTTAATTTAGACAATATAGTTTGACTAAGTAAAATCAAATTAAAAGTATAACCATGATCCAAATAAAAACACAAACAAGTTAGATAATATAATTATTCCTAGAAATAATCAACTATTTCAAATCTGTGTTATCACTAAGGTATAATCACGTTAAACAGTGTTAACAGTTAAAACGCAGACACCGAAACTAAGATGATTCTGCCTTAAAAACAATCACCAGGCCTCCAACAGATATTGAATTAACATACCCATGAGGTAGATAATAATTAATAATTGCGTATAAACAATTTTGACACGAATCATTTTTGTATCCCTAAAGTAGAATAGCAAGTTAAACGTTAAACAAAAGCCGATTTCGGTGAACCAAAACTTATCTGAAATATAGACGTTAACGTCCTTGAGGGGGCGGGCTAAGTCGTAACCATAGCGACAGAAGCTGAACCAATCAGGAAGCTAGCCTTCTCAAACGGGGATAAAAGGCCGGAAATGACGCACGCCCACCGAGCATTTTCCGGGAGGCGCACATGGCGACGGTTCGTTCTTAATGCTCCATTTATATGCATATATCTTATTAATGTAATTGTTTGTCTCTGAATATCTGTAACCCATGTTGTGTCAAATAAATCTTTTATACGAAGGGCGACGCCTCAGCCATTTTGAACACGACGTGGTACTCTAACCACGACAATACTGAACCCCTCGATGACTCCGATGTGTGTCCCATCGGTGTATGAATGTGATCTCAAAGTACTGATTAGTCTCTTTAGAATTATTTGTTCAATTAGCTTTGTAGAGATCTAGTAGGGTGATGTATGAATGGGTAAATGAGGACACAGATTGTAATGTAAAGCACTTTGAGTATATCGATGAGCTAGAAAGGCGCTATATAAGTACAGTCCAGTTACCATTTACAGTCCATTACATGAGTGCAGCTACTGCATGTGCTCTCAGGACATTATTACATGCAGTGCACCCTCAATACACTGCATTCACTGCAGACTAAACTAGGCAAAAGGGCCTTCTCCTACTCGGCTCCTTTATTCTGGAACATCTTGCAAAAAAAACAAAACCTTGACCTCTCTAAGTGGCTTCAAACAACTGCTAAGTTCATG